AAATTACCATGGTTCACTGAATACAGAATCAATTTGCAAATTCAAGGAAAGCCTAAGCAAGAGTTTGCATATAGTGAAGAAATCTCGATGTAGTCAAAAACCATTCTTAGTCTCATACATTTTGTAGAAACGTAGAAGCAGGAGGAGGCCATATGGCCCTGTGAGCCTGCTCCGCCATTCAGCGTGATTATGGCTGATCATCCAACTCAATAGCCTAATCCTGCATTTTCCCCATAACCTTTGATCCTATTCAGCCCATGTGCTATATCTAATTGCCTCTTGAATACATTGGCATCAACAACTTCCTGTGGTAATGAATTCCACAGGCTTACCACTCTTTGAGTGAAAAAATGTCTCCTCATCTCCGTCCTAAATTGTCTACCCTGAATCCTCAGACTGTGACCCTTGGTTCTGGACACACCCACCATCAGGAACATCCTCCCTGCATCTACCCTGTCTAGTCCTGTTATAATTTTATAAGCCTGTATGCGATCCCCCCTCATTTGTCTGAACTCCAGCGTAAACAATCCTAACCTAGTCAATCTTTCCTGATATGTCAGTCCCGCCATTTCCGGAATCAGCCTGGCAAACCTTTGCTGCACTCCCTTGAGAGCAAGAGCATCCTTCCTCAGAAAAGGAGACCAAAACGGCACACAATATTCTAGGTGTGACCTCACCAAGGCCCTGTGTAACTGCAACAACACATCCCTGCTCCTGTACTCGAAACCTCTCGCAATGAAGGCCAACGTATCATTTGCCTAACTTACCACCTGCTGCACCTGCATGCTTACCTTCAGTGACTGGTGCACAAGGACACCCAGGTTCTGCTGCACATTCCCCTCTCCCAATTTGCAGCCATTCAGGTAGTGATCTGCCTTCTTGTTTTTGCTTCCAAAGTGAATAACCTCACATTTATCCAAATTATACTGCATGTGCCATTGATTTGCCCACTCACCCAACCTGTCCAGATCATGCTGAAGGATCTCTGCATCCTCGTCACAGTTCACCCTTCCATCCAACTTGGTATCACTTGTAAATTTTGAGATGTTACATTTTGTTCCTTCATCCAAATCATTCATATATATTGTGAATAGCTGGGTTCCCAGCGCCAATCCCTGTGGTACCCCACTAGTTACTGCCTGCTAATTTGAAAGGACCCATTAATTCCTATTCTTTGTTTCCTCTCTGCTGACCAGTTTTATATCAATCTCAATAGATTTCCCCAATCCCATGCCCTTCAATCTTGCATAATATTCTCTTATGTAGGACTTTGCCAAACACTTTCTGGAAGTCCAAATATGCAACATCGACTGGCTCCCCCTTGTCAACTCTACTAGTTACATCTTCATCGAATCCTAACAGATTTGTCAAGCATGATTTCCCCTTCATAAATCCATGCTGACTCTGTCTGATCCTGCCACTGCTTTCTAAATGCTTCACTATAAAGTCCTTGATAATGGATTTGAGAATTTTCCCCACTACTGATATTAGGCTTGTAGGTGAGCTTTCCATAATTTTGGATAAGTCTATAATCTGCAAAGGAGGTAAAACTATTCATATTTTTCTGTTGGCTTCTATATGTAAAGAAACTCAGGAAGCTTGATTAGAAAGGAACATTGTTTATTGTTAAAAACAAAAATAAAGTCACTGCTCATGGCATACAAAGGCTAGTCCCAGCTCAGGACAGATAGATCTCCTTTTTTTAGATGGATTAAGAAGTGCTCTTACACGCAACTGGATATTTTTTCCCATCATTTTCATTTTGGAAAATCCAATTCAAGAGCGAACTATACAGTAAATGGAAAAGCCCTGGGGAAAATTGATGCACAGAGAGATCTGGGTGTTCGGGTCCATTGTATCCTGAAGGTGGCAACGCAAGTCGATAGAGTGGTCAAGAAGGCATACGGCATGCTTTCATTCATCAGACAGGGTATTGAGTACAACAGTTGGCAGGTCATGTTAAAGTGGTATAGGACTTTGGTTCGACCATATTTGGAATACTGCGTACAGTTCTGGTCCCCATTTTACCAAAAGGATGTGGATGCTTTGGAGAGGGTGCAGAGGAGGTTCACCAGGATGTTGCCTAGTATGGAGGGCGCTAGCCAGTTGAGTAGATTAGGATTATTTACATTAGAAAGACGGAGGTTGAGGGGGGACCTGATTGAGGTGTACAAAATCATGAGCGGTTATAGACAGGGTGGATAGCAAGAAGCTTTTTCCCAAAGTGGGGGACTCAATTACTAGGGGTCACGATTTCAAGATGAGAGGAGAAAAGTTGAAGGGAGATATGCGTGGAAAGTTCTTTACGCAGAGGGTGGTGGGTGCCTGGAACGCATTGCCAGCGGAGGTGGTAGAGGTGGGCACGATAGCGTCATTTAAGATGTATCTAGACAGATACATGAATGGGCAGGGAGCAGACAGATATGGATCCTTGGAAAATAGGCGACAGATTTAGATAGAGGATCTGGATCAGCGCAGGCTTGGAGGGCCGAAGGGCCTGTTCCTGTGCTGTAATTTTCTTTGTT